TGTGAACAGTAGAAGAAAACAGATGGTATATATAACAAATAAATATATATATGTATATAGTTTTTTTTTTTCAAGAAATGCTAAAAGCTTGCTAAAAGCTCACTAAAAGGAATAACATGAACAAAACTGGAAGATGAGGAAATGGAAAGTTTTTGCTTTTCTCAGAAAGCAAGGCTTATACAGTCACATTTCCCACTCCCAAATATTTTGAGGACCTCTGACACATTTCAACCAAAGCTAAAAGGAAGATAAAAGCCTTAAAGATGATTTTAAACCACAAGCTTTATTAAATTAGAGTTTGGCAAAATGTATGATATGAAATAAAAGCTTCCGCTACAGGAAAGGCTGTCCTAGATTCCCATCCAGCCTTTCCATTCAACAACTGCTTGAATGCAAACTAGCCAGGCAATATAGGTAACACCACCATCACTGACTTGAGGATGTGAGCCCTTCTATAGGATACTGAAAATCTCAAACTGGTTCCCTCCTTTACTGGAGCCAACTTGAAGATGTATTTACTTTCAAGAACAGGATCAGAACACGAATGTCCAGGACACACAGTTACTTGAGTTTTCAGTCTAAATCTAAGTAGAAAATGCAACTGGAACACAGAGGAGAGAGAGCAATGCTATCATTTTCTCACTTGCATGACCAGTGGGCCAGTTCTAATATTTTCCAGGAATCTACAACAGCTCAGAAGGCCTAATTCTAAGCAAAAGGAGGGAATGGTATCTGCAAGGAGGTCTGAGCTGAAACATCCCCAATAGGAGGAGAACCATGGACTGACATCCCAGTACTCCAACAGACTGTTAGACAAATAGGCAATCTGACAATCTGTCAATCTGTCAGAATTTCTAAAGCCATACTTCCTATTTCTTTATTATTTTTCTCTGTCCTCTTTCACTAGTTCCTAAAATAAAATACTCCAACAGTGAAGAACTAATTCTATGCTGGACACAGTAAGTCTCCTTCATCTTTCCGTCATAGTCTGTACGACATAGCACAATCTGAGATTGCTCTGCTGGAGTTTTGGGCCTAATGAAGACAATAATGAACACATTTACATACAAAGCCATATGAACAATAGTGGTCTGTAAAATGCACTTCTGCAGTGGGAGATGCCAAAATCATTTTTCCCATCGTTTCTTCAATCAGTGAAGAAATATAGAAAAGACAAAAAGAAAAGGCATTAATTTATGCCTCCATTTCACACCCACCCACATATCTCAGTGGGATTTCTGTAAATAATGTAAGGCCTCCCCAGTGTTTAAGATGCAGAGCCTCCAAATACAGCAGCAGAACTCTACAGCCAAATTTATAGAAAAATTTGAATTAAAATGGAAACTAGTTTATTTCACCATAAAGAACACTTTCTGTATCTGTCACTGTAGTTGAATTCACTTCTTTAGGTAGTGCTACAAGAACTGCCAGATGCATTCTGCTGTTCCTATGAAAAAAGTTGACAACATTTTCTTTTTCCTTATTGTTTGGTGAGCAGGTTGTTTTAGAGAACAAATTAACAAATGACAACTATATTTTGTAAGCAGTTTTGAGTGCAAGCATGTGTCAGATATTATAAGAAAAAAACATTTTTGTCAACATATTTTTCCATTTACTCATCTGCTTCTTGATTTTTCTATGGAACAGCAAAACAAAGCCATGCTATGTTCTCAGCAGGGCTATTTTCATAGTGGAACAAGTTTCAGAGTATTGACTTGGTACGCTTCCACTATTAAAAACATAAAAATACAAAACCAATTCCTTGTCCTTTCTTCAAAGGGCTAAAAAGCAGAATTTCTAGTGATATTCCCAATACTACAATAAATAAAACACTGCAAAAGCAAAGATTTAGTGTATATAATGAAAGAAGGAAGACACAATGAAAGCAACGCCTGTGTTTATTTTACACAGAATTTGCACTCAAATGTCACTGACTTCAATACAAATTCCATTTCTGTAATATCTATAGTAGGAGACTGATGTTGTGGGAGCTGTACAATAAAGGATAAAATTAGCCAGGCAAATGACCAACAGTGTCATTGGAAGTGTAGGATGGCAACGTTAGACTCCTTTTGCCCTATCTGCCATATTAGGACTTTTCCCATATTCTCTTATCCATTTAAATGAATGAATTTGCAATAGGAAAGCATTAGGTTCCCTAGCTACAGTAAACACAGGTGGACAAAACAGACTAAAAGTTCATTTCTTATGATCTTATATTCAAAGAAGATAAAAAAGCTCATGCTGGGACTTAGTCTAGTGTTTTGGAACACAGCTAGCTTTCACTGCTTGTCTGGCCTTTGTACAGAGTACCAAAAACTGTCAATACAATATGCAAAAATTACATCAGCCCTTTGATATGGAGGGTGAGGGATGGCTTGTCTGGGATATTTGTTTTAGTGATATCACAATTACACATTGTGTGGTTTGAATTAAGTAGATTCTTTTGAGTTTAAAAAATGCTATTGATCTTTCAAAATATTCTTTTAATTTTGGCTGGCACTCCACTGTACATTCCCAAGCAGTGCTGCCATTTAAATGGGTTCATAGCTGATGCAATAAGCAAATTTGCAGTAAGCAAAGACATAAGCATCACAGGATTTTATTTGTTTGTATGTTTGTTTTAAGCCACTCAGAATTAAAGGCCAGTTCCTGGGAACTGCAGTGGTGAGAGAAAAAAGGAATGTGCAAGATTATTATGAGTTAAACTGATATGTAATAAGATGTGTCAGTAAGAATCATGTCTTAAAATGACTGTACCTCCGGAAAATAGATTACCAGTTTATGCCTCAGACTGCAGTAGAACAGAACAAGATCAAAACATCTGCAGTTTTCTTGCACTGAACAGCCACTGACACCAATGGTCATTTAATTTTACATAGGCTTTAACAGCTGAGACAGAAACTCTAGGAACCAGTATAGTATATTAATGAGAACTAGATTTATTTTAAATAAACTCTGAATTAAAATATCTTAAAATGTATTACTCTAAATAGTCTTCTCAAAACTAAGTTGTTTCATTCTGATTTCACATTTCCATTTTATTTAACTGATTTATCATCCCTATTTTCAAGTGAATGAACATAAGATTAATATCTTCAAAACTATTTTTGTTTGAAACTGACTACAATAAAAGAAAGAAGTTTTCCATCTGAATTGATTGCTGCTCTTTTTCCTCCCTCCAAACTTCCAAGTCATTCAGTTTCAAAATCTTATTTTCATAGAGTTGCATTGACTGAAACAAAACTACTTTTGAACATATGATGCATTAGATGAACTGGTTTAAACTCGTAAGTTTTATTTTAAGTTAATAGTGAGGAAAGACTATCCTCATTTTTAAAATGGTATTTTCCATCTGGTTCAAATAAGTTTAGCACTCTCTTTCATGTGAATTTATTTTTATCTTTGTTTTATCCCAAGCTCCCATCCATCTACAGTGATACAGTAGCAGGACCACAGCTCCTGCCCAAGCCAATGTGTTACAAATCACTGGAGAAAAGAGCACTGCCAGAAGCATGAAACGACTTGATCTTTTTAGATTAACATTTCCAGTATTCTTCATGGTTGAGAGTCAGGGAGAGCCCTGTCATGCTCTGTTTTCTCTTGCTGCCTTTCAGTGAGGAAGAACTTGAGCATTACCTAAATGTATTTGCAGGACTGTGTATTGGCAAGTGATCAGAAGGCAAGGACATTGTTGCAGATTTAAAAATACCAAATATCATAAAAATATAAAAGATACTGTTATAAGTATTGTAAGAAATGTTGTTAGGCAGCCATAAGTAGTTCCCCAGTTTTCCCAGCTTCCTTGAGTTACTATCAAGACTGGCCATCAATGTTTGAATGAAGAGAATGAGCTAATTAAGGACATCCTTGTACTAAAAGTAGCAAAGAGAAAGACAAAGAACACAGACTGCTAAGTACTGCTGAATCAACAAAGTGATAAGAGCATGGGGTAGTCTCATAGTAAGAAAGAAGTTGGAATAAACACTTTCTTTTAGCAGGCAGCCTCTCTGCAAATTAAAAAAAAAAAAGTACAGGGAAATATCCTACAACAGATTCTTGCTGTAGTTTTATAACTAGTGGACTGTACTAACAGTGAATTTATTGAGCACTTGCCCAATTCTCACTTGGTGCATGCATGAGAACGTATACATTTAGTTTGGTTTCTGTTGAGCACTGCATACTTGGGTGACAGAAATTACTAGAGGTAAAACTTACCTTTAGTATACATATTTTCATTGTAATTTCTGTGATTTGTAAGTGTCATAACGATAACTGCAGTTTGGGAATAAGAGGATTTGATTTCCTGCCAAGTGTTAATCCATGTCCAGAAGGTGTAATGAAAAATAATATTTCTAAGCAATAATAATGATAATTACATTTAACAATAATGATCTTTTTTTTTTTTCTTTTTTTTTTTCTTAATCTGATCACAGCAGTTCTTGATTTAAGCCAAACTGCGCTCTGCACATGTGGTTGTTACTATGGTAACAAAACACCTGGGATAAACTGCTGGGCCACTGAAAAAAAACAGTTTTACTATTGACTTCAAGAGGGTAATATTTGCCTTTTTGCCATACAGGACAACAGACCACAAACTTGTGGTATTTGCAAGCTCAGTAGTTTACATGGAAAACTGTGTAGTCAAAATAGGTATTTTCTTCATTACACAGACAGAATGTCATACGTGCACTGTATTCATATATTTTTCTGCAATCAAGAGCAAGGACATACGAACTTAAAACTTTTACTCCAGTGGTATAAAAATATACCTTCCCACTTAAGAAAACAGTTCAGTCAATTTTCTGAATGAGTTTTACGCAATTGAAAGCGTGTGTTCCTAATGCGAAACCCAGACGCACAAGCTGCCTCTCACTGATGTGAATGTAACACTTGCCAAAGTCTAAACCTCAGCAGAACATGTAATACATGGACATACCCAATACATGGGATTACAATAGCAATATCAATGTTAGAATATTGGTTACTTATGGCAGACACACACACACAAAAAAAAAACATCAGTAGAGGCATAGGCTGATTGTTAATCACCTTAAACCTCAGCAGATACGAAAGCTTTGGCCATATTTCTACCATTGTTAAACACGTTATTTCTCATCATGAAATGTTTGAAGGGATGTTCTCCTCAACAAAGTAAATGGGAAGAAAAAAAAAAGAGAGAGAATCCTTTTAAGTAAAGTATCTGTCATCTACATTCAGAGCGCCCATGCCTTCTACAGGTAATCCTTCCAAAAATCTCTGAACTGTCAGTACAACTAAGTTGCTGCTTCTGATATATTGAAAGCTCAATTCTGCCTGATTGGTGACAGAGAGAACTGCCATTGATCCAACATGGAATTGAGTTGCTAGAAGTCTAGGAAAACCCACTGTAGGCAAAGGTGGTCAGGCTGTTGCTCAGGGAATGGTTTAAAGCAACAATGAGGTGGATAGGTGGTCAAGAGAGGATAATAGGAAGGTTACTAGCTACACAAGTATTGCCCAGTGTACATACTAGTCTGCAGAACCTGAATAACAAAATGTAAGACCACTGCATGGTGGTTGCCCACCCTTAAATCAGTAGAATGGCAGCAATACTAACAGCAGTTTTATTAATAAATTAGATGCTGAAGGGCAACACACATAGCTGTTTCATCCTTTTTCTTTTTTTTTTTTTTTTCCCCTTTCCACAGTTACTATAGTTCTTCTATGTGTTCTTATAGTTCTAAATGACTATTTGTATCTTTTGGCATTTAAGAAGCAAATAGCATTTTCATTGAAGCTGTCCCTAGAATTTCTCCTAATTCCATCACTGCTAGGACAACGGGTTTCCAAAGCAGCTCTTGAATTTAAGTACATCCTGTTCAGAAGCTGGCATTTCTCATACGTGCTGCAAACTAAAACATGAGTTCTGGATACTTATTCCATCCAAATGTCAGATCCCAGACGTGTCCAGGCTCCTTTGGTTGATGTAAATTAACAGCTAACCCTGTAGCAAAGTTATTTTAAAGAGAGTTTTCCTTATGAAGATTTTCATTGTTTGTTTGTTTGTTTTAAACAAGTGTTCATAATCTTTCATATTTCTGTTAGCTTAGTCAGCTTCTGTTAGCATAGCTCAGCACAGATCATATCGGAGTTGGACTCGGTGATCCTTGTAAGTTCCTTCCAACTTGGGGTATTCTATGATGCTACATGTGAATTCATCCCTTAAATTCACCAATATTAACCTCTAGTTGATTTGAGCATTTGAGATTTACAGTTGAAGAGCATGTACAAGATATACATAATATCCAGGTAGGTATAAGACCCCAATAAATGAAATATAAATTCTCCTAGCGAAACCTTGCAACTACTGTGCAGACAGGCTCACTGAGTAACAGAAGAAAGAATGTTGCTGAGATGACAAGGTAGAGATCACCACCTCATTGCTTTATGAAAACAACAGAAAGAGAATATTGCACTGATAGGATATTTCTTCTGTAGTGGCTGTCTTAGAGCTATTATGTTAGTATAGCACCTAACATAATATTGATATAATATAATACAAAGCAAAGCAATCTAATGCAATACAAAAGGTAAATAGCTACTGTTTTAGATAAATTCCAAGAATGTCACAATCAAAAATAACTAAATAATAATTCAGAAGTTTAGGTCAGTCTTGATTTGCAGTTACATGCATTTATGTATTTTTCCTAGAATACTTACCTGTACATTATTCATACTGGAGCAATTTAAAAAATTCCTCCTCAGCCATGCCTTATCATGTCATAATTATTCATCTTCTTGAAGCCTTCAGCAGCCTCTGGTTACAACACCTTGACATTTTCTAATAAATTATAAAGTGAAAGGTTAATTTTGTCTCCCTAGCCAATCAATCTTCAGCTTCTTAGCAAAACTTAGCTTCAAAATTACACTAGTCTATAATGAGCTGGACTCCAATAATCAGTTCACCTCAAATTTTCCCAGGAAATAATCTACATATCTACATCTCCCGAACGGGAGAAGCCCTAAAACATTCAAAAACTGAACATGAGTATTAGCTGCTTGGAACTCCGTGGCCTTCTGCAGTGGACGAGCAAACTAAGGAACGCATTAGCATTTTGAAATCGAGATAGAGGAAAGTTTCTGATGAATATGTCTCAGGCTTGCTTAGGAGCAGAATTTCATGCATTTTCTATAGATTTTAGGCTAACATCTACTGAGATCAATAAAAATAGTCCACTGACTTCATGGCTACTAATGATAGGAGGCACAACATTACACAAAGAGCAGGAGCAAACAATGCAAAGGTTTGGTCTTCCTAGAGTACAGTAACAAAGCTCATGGCTTTTCAACAGTGGATGCAGGAGAAATAGGAGTAAATATTCCTATGTAAAATCCAGTTTTGTTGAGCTTGGTCTGATCTGAATCAATCTTTTATAAAAGCAGCAGCTTAAAGTTCGTTTAAATTCAGGTGTTTGCAGTATCTACAAACATGTGTTCTGTCTTATGCAGACAAGGCCAGTGAGATGTTTTAGGTGTCAAGGGGGAGAGTTCTCACATTTCTTAAATGGCAGAGGGAAGATTTATAAAGTTTTTACTGGCCTGAAGGAAAGAAAGAAAGCAGAAACATCTGCCAGTACCATGAGTGGATTGTTGGCTAAATTCATTCAACAGGGGAGTCTGAAATATATCATCTTTGCTTTGAGCAGTAGGCGTTAGTGGAGGCATCAAAAATAATTACTATAGAGGAGTCCAGGACATACCTATGGGGAATAAAATTAATCTGACAATGTAAAATGATTCTGCAAAATATGGATAGAGAAATCAGCTTTACTTACAGTGTTCTAGTACAACATACTATCTTTCTTATAAAACAAGAGCAGAAATACTTTTCATTTGAACCTGAAATATTACTTATGTGTTATTAGAAAAGGGAAAACCACAGGCAATGGAGATGGCTACAGATACAACTATAGTCACACTACTCAGAAATTCAGTGGTTTACTCAAAGATATAACCATGGATTTTAGATGCTGATATAGGTAAGGATGTCTCTACCGTGTTTTAGAAACTCACCTGCACTAAGATTAACAATCATAAGAGGAAAAATAAGGCTTCAAACAAGTAAAGATCGGTGAACTGTACACATTTAAACAACTCTCTCCTTTTTATCTTTGTACTGAGATCGAAAGGAGGATCTGCAGTTCCCAAGTTGAGCTACTGCAAGTGTGTTTGTGCGAGCCACTTGGCAGTATCCTATAAACAATGTACAAACACCATAGGAACAATGACGCGGCCATTTCCCACAACAGTTCTATCTTTCTTCTCGTAAACAAACCCAAGGCTGCACATACCCTTCAGAGCTGTGGCCTCTCCTCAGGAGCTCACATGAAAGCCTTTCGACTGTGTTTTGCATTAGCTTATTTTCAGTGCCAAACAGCCTCCAGATTCCCAAAGCACATACCGTAAAACCTTTCTCTGGAAGCAGAGCAAGAGAGGGGTAAGCAGGGTCACATGCTGTTAGAGATTCATCCATGTGTTTTGGACAGAATCAGCCCTTCAGACTGTCTCTTGGGTTAGAGAAGATTCTTCTCTGATGTATGATTAATGGCCAGCTCTCCTAAAGATATATTTTTCTGGAGAACATTGAGAAGATACTGCATTATTTCAAGAATATCTCCATGAATGTGAATACAACCAGCTTGAGTGTTTGGAAATGGCTACACCCACATCCAGAGATGCTTGTTTAAATTAGGGTGTTATAATTCTGACCTTCTGACTGCACTGACATTTCCAGAGCTAAACCTGTCAGGCTCCAGTCACATGTAATTCTCCAGGGCTGTTGAAAATTAATTCCATTTCAATGATGATAAAACTCTCAAGTGAAATATTATATGGAAATTATTTAATTCCTTCCTTTCTGAGGGGTAGATCATATACTGCCCCTTTGTAGGTACTACAGAAGGGAAAGCCTGAAAATGAGAGGTAATAATGTTTAGGCACACATAAAAGGAGCATGAAAGGTATTCAGAACTGTTTTTTCACCTGTACCTCCATCATTTTTGCATGAGATCGGCTACAAACATTCAAAGGCAAAAATATCTAGCATGCAAAAGAAGTAATAAAAAAAATGCCACAAGACCATCCTAGAAATTTTTGCAAGATGAAACTATTTTTTTTCTGCAGTTGTACCTATTTATATTTGTTTTTTCCTTATCTGAGTTTTGCCAAATTTCCCACTTCACCTTTCTCCTTTCAATGATAGTACTTTTCCATGGAGAAAATGTATGAGAATTTAATTTACGTATGATAGAAGAATCCATCAGGTGACTTTACCCCCTCATTTCTCATTCCCTAAGATTGCTGTCACCATCTTTGCAACAGGAATTGCTGAGAATCCAGACATACTGACAGAACATCACTTGCTGTTCGTAGCCTACATTTTCTCTAAAATGTCTGGCATCAAAACCCTAACTATTAGGTACTGAGCTAGTACAGATCACTTAAATTGAATTAGATGAGGGGGAAAATTATTTTTCAAAATTATTCCAGCATGTAAGAAAGGGTAACACATCTCCATCTCTTTGTGTGAGGGAAATAGGAAGGGGTTTGGAACCAAATAGTAATGAGCATACGGAGGTCATGATGGAGGGGGTAACTTGCAAGTAAGTTCAATTGTATCCACAACAGACATATTCCAAGGCTTTTGAGTGTATTATAGCAACTGAAGGAGAAAAAAGAGGCAGTACAAGCAATTCAAACCATGGCATGGTACTTTTTTTCTGCCAAGCAGAGCATTCTCAAGCATCAGAAGTCCCAATACGATCTTATATAAATTAAACATATTCCAAACCACACAAAATTTCACAGACAAAATAAGAATCATAGAATATCCAGAGTTGGAAGGGACCCACAAGGATCATAAAGCACAACTCCTGGCTCCACACAAGACCACCCAAAAATCAAACCATATGACATAGCAGGAAAGGAAGATGACCACATAAGAGCTGAACAGTTTCAAAAATTCTGGTACCCCATAGTTCATCTTTTCATGGAAAATCATGCATATTTTTAAGTAAAAACCTTTCTAATCACATAGTTCATAGTCTCCTAATTGAGTTTTCAAGATTTGTTTGTTTGACTGTTTTTTTTTTTTTCAATGCAGGCAGAAAATTTCTGATGGCTCCAATAATAATAATAGAAAAGATAAAAATCATACTCCTTTTCTTGTTAGACTTTTAACTGTCTTCCTCCACTGTGGTTCAAACTGCTTAACTTTCCATTTTGTATTTAGTGTGGTTTTCCTGCAGATATAAAAAAGAAAAAGAATCATGACTATTTGAAATACGGATCTCAAGCCAGTTGAGTTACTAACGTCTGATAACTTCCTCATACATTCGACTTCCTCCGATATTATTTCAGAGAAATTCTGGGGTATGCCTACACAACACAATATGTTACTGTGCAAGATGCAGGGACAGCTCTAACAGACTAGTTTTGAAATAGAAGGTATGTAAAAGTAGCCTTAGCTGAAGTCCCAGTGGAAGGATAGCCACGTCACCACAGCATGACTCTCAACTTAATACACCCAGCCCCTTAGTACAACCAGCTTTTAGGGGCAGAGTGCTATGCCAATAAGGATCTGTCACTTCCAGTATGGAGACTACTTTGGGTCTCTATGCGTGACACTGAAGACATGCCACATTCAGGAGTGGTTTGGCAGAAAATTAAAGCTGTGGAAGCACACTTTTTTTTCCTACTCGCATCCTGCCTTAATGACTTGGAAAAATGTGAATTTCAGGAGCAGAATAAGCACTAGGTAATTGCCCATCCAGACTTTCTGCCGGAAAATGGCCTTATAAGAAGTTTCACACGTGGGCCAACAGAACTTACCATCTAAAAAAAAGCTGGGGAAAAAATAGTTAAGAGAATTTGTATTTCTAGTTCATACTACACTTTGGTTTCTAACAGGACTTTCACCTAAGTCCTGGTTATGCTGTAAGAACAGGGATTGAAACTTTTTTGTGTTGAGAATATGACAAAAATGTTACAAAATTGTTTTAAGAGCTGTCAGATTCATTTCCTTTCTGGCCTCAGATGCAGTTTGGAGGTGGAGGAAAAAAAAAACTGAGCTGTTTAGAATACAGCTTAAAACTATGTCCTGCCTACTCACAGTGACTGGGTAGAACAAGCTTTCATTGTCCCACAGGAAAGGGAATAGGCATGATCAGGAAGCTGGAAGGCATCCTGAATTATCAAGAAATGCTGTTTTGGGGTGGAGAGAGGAATAAGTAAACTGACTAGCCAGGTCCAACATTTAAAAGATTGAAAACCACTGCCACAAGAAACCTTTAAAAGCAAATATATATATATTAATAATAATAAAAATCAAAAGGATTTCAGAAAGGCAAAAATCTATATCACAAACAGTAGACAGCTCTAGCAAGAGGAGGCCTCAAGAATAAGTCTCCTCATTAGCAAATATGAACCATAGGGATAACCAGGTGCAGGTAGAAAGAAGTCAAGAGCAGAAGAGCAGACAAGACTGTGTAGTGCGTTTCAGACATTTCAACATCACCTCAGGAGAAAAAAATTGAGGCGAGGGTCAAAATTCAGGCTGGAGAGAAGAAGGCCAATTCATTTAGCTTGTTTTAATCTCTGCATATGATAGCTATGAAGGACAGACTGTCCTGCCACTGATGTACATTTCCAGGCCTCAGCCTTCTATTCCTCTCTTCACGGAGGTTAGTTCCAAATAGAAAACCATTACAACCTAATCTATGTCTTATCAGAGCATTCAGTATAAGCATATAAATGCCTCTATGCTAGCAAACTAACAAGGTGGCATGAGAAGCTATTCGATTTAGGCATGTCAAATATGAAGGAATAATGAAGCTTTTAAGTCATTACATACAAGCGAGAATCAAATGCCATATGTTTGAGCTGAGCATCTTTCTACGAGAGATGACCAAAATCTTTGTCTGCAATCTAAAATTGAACCTACATGGAATGTTTTAACTAAAGACATTAATCTGTTTGGAGATGCCTAATACCAGGGAGACCTTCACTCACTTAACAGGGAGCAAAGACTGCTGTGAACTTGTCAGAATACTATTTCTTGTTAAAAAAAAAAAAAAAAAAAAGAAAAGAAAGAAAGAAAAACAGGAAAAAAAAACTTTATGAAATGAGTGCAAGGCACAGAGGGGATTTTCTGCACTTCATAAGGTGACTTCAGAAGATTAGAATCAGTAAACGCGAAGTATGTCAAAAGTTGCTTTACTTTTTAACAGCCCTTACCCAAACAATATTATCTCATTGAATAGTTTGCCATCAGAAGGGCAATAGTTTAATTGCATTATATAAACAAGAATCCAATTAAAGTTGCCTCAACAGTGCACAGATACTGTTCAAATACCTCTCCCAAGCAACACAAATGGTCTTTAAATGGCACTTCTTGTGATTGCAAGAGATCCTTGGGCCACCATCAGAGATGCAAGGTGAAAGACATCGCCTTTTACCCACAGAGTCTGTTTTCTTGCCCTCCAAAATGCAATTGTACTGCTTTTAATGCTTTGGCATGTTCTCAGGGCTTTTTCTCCTGGCAGCACAATAAGATCAAGCTACAGGAAGAAGAGCAATCTGTTAACACTGATGTGCCTTATGAACTATTTTTACTTTTCCTGGTTTATTTTTGACCTCCTGACGTTTTTTTTTCTCCTGACCTTCTGCATGAAGACAAGAAAATCAGTACATTTTATCCACCAACTGAGTGAACTTTCTTCACTCACAGAATTATAGGGTTTTAAGTGAACATCATCTATTCTGCCTGAAGGCTTCCACTTCACAAAGGGAGTACACGTGACTATTTCTTTTTTCACTGGTAATGGCATCTGTTAGATAAAGGAATGTTTACCAAGGAAAAACTGTACAGTTCCTCAGAGTTTTGCTGAATGACAATGTTTTGGAAGTCAGTTTCTCCCAAGAATCAAAATCAGTGATGTGTAGCCAGGTATTTTCTCAGTGTAATTAGCTTGTTTACCAAGCCTGTGCATTTTCTATCATGGTTCTTCTGAAACAAGATAACGAAAGGCACAAAATTAACTTCCTAAATGTGGGTCAGCATACTGAAGTGTGCCCAGAAACTGCTGCTCTATTTCCCCTTTCCCTCACCACCAGTTCACTACATGGCTCTTAAGATTATGATGCCAAGGCTACTGTAAGCACTTGGGTACTAAATACAACCATGTTCTGAACTAGAGGCAAAATAATAATAATAATAATGGATGCTATTTAAGGAAGCTGAGAATACATCAATCTGAGAGAGTGTTGTGTAAGTTTAAATCCCCCCAGTCTCAAACAAGGCAGCTGTGTCTGGGAAGACTGAAAGCTGAAGAGGCCGTGGTATAGTCTCTTCCTTCCTGTTCCCTTACCATTCTAGCAAGACACCTGGACTCCCTGTTTCAGCTGTAACTGCTGCATCCACTTCTTCCTTTCTGGCAGCTCTGTTTGTCTCCACTGTCTATGCAGATAATAGGTAGAACTTGATTCCCACAGTCTACTGCAAAGATAGACCAGCAACAACACTGGTCTGAGACAAGAGGCTTCTCCTTTGGTTAGAAGTTGTTCCTGTGATACCCCATCCCAGGTATCTGGCACTCAGAAGCCTTGAAGCTTCTGAGGGAGAAAAGAGGTAGGGAGGTACCAGGAAGGTGCTGGGTGCAGGAGGTTTGCTGATGGTGCCAAAGTTCCTCCTTAGGACTCCATAGATGCCTCATTAGGACACCACAGGTCCAGGCAAGGAAACAGCAAGGAGTTTGTGAAGTTCTTGGATGAGAGCTAAGGAAAGCTCTAAATTTTCTGAACTTCCCTGGCTTCATTATCCCTAGCTGATTTATGGCATGGGAACCAGTATACAAGCATATAGTTTTAGCATCTTCCTGTCTGAATCTTAATCACATCTTGCTGAGCAGACTGAAGGCAGATCTAGCAATTGACCCCACCTGGAAGCAACAACAGAGCTAAAGCCTTAACTGGTTCAATGCCACTGTTCTTGTTTGAATAACAGAGGGCCCAAGTAGCTGAGTTTGAGCCTCTTCTTGTGTGCAACAGATTACCCATAGCATGTTAATTTTCAGAGAAGGTATGTCTCACTCCATCCTAGTTAGTTTGTGATAAAGATAAAAGGAAGACCTCTTCTCTACCCACAAACAGCTTCATTCATGTTTCTTCCAGCACGAAGTTTGCAGCGTGCAAATCATTAGGATCTCCTAATGATCCTAATCATTAGTCAGTAGTCAATATGCTAATATCAATAGTCAAAATGCTAATATTTTTGGTCAGTCTTTAGAAGCTGCAGCCATGATTTTCCTACCTGCACAACTGTGACAACAGAAAATGAAGTTCCAATTAACTTATCAGTATCTAATGTATCTAACTGATATGAATGTCTCTCATTTTTCCCTTGCAATCAAATTCTAAACAATGTTTTTCTTTATTCAAGATAAATCATCAAAATCCCAAATTGGCAATTCTAAGAGTTAATTACTCTTTGTCATATGGACTTCAGACAGTAAGATTTTATTTTTCTTATTAACAAATGTACTTAAAATATTCCCTGTCACATTACATTTTTCTGAAGGACTGTTGACTCAGTTGCTCTATTCATATTCCATGTGTTGGTAAGGAAGTGCCTCTTGCAGTCTCATCCACACAGAGGAACTTTGTCACTTTAACAGCAGTTAAGACAGTAAAAAATATTCTCATCTTCCCTAAGTGTGGTGCTGGTACAAAGACACCATAAGCAGTATGGTTAAGAACATAAAAAAAGCAACTGTGGATGTAAAATGGTATTTAGCACAACCCCCAGTGTCTGACAGTGGCCAGCAGTGAATGCCAAGGAGGAATAAAGTATCATGGCATGCTCATATCCTGCAAGATTTCCAAGTCAGTGGCTCTCCTTGCACCTGTTCACCCACAACAGGTTTTTCATCCATGAACCTTTGCAGCTCATTCCTGAAGATCTGGGTACTTCTGATCCCCCCAGCAGGCTACAGTCAGGGATCTCACAAGTTAAACATGCAGTCCTGTAAGAAATATCGCCTTTTGTTTATTTTGAACCTGCCACCTGGCAGTTTCCTGGCACATTTACCCACTTTGGTAGCGTAAGCAGTGGAGAAAAACTGTTTCAATCTGACCTTCTTCCTTCCTAATTAGCATTGAATTGGCATCTATCTCCACACCCATCTTCTTACACACTGCAAACCACGATCAACTGATTCTGGTAAAGAAGTTCCATAAAGAAGAGAATAGGCACATTGCTATCAGTACTACTCCAAAAAAATAAGCAGAGTTAATTCTTTCACCTGAAAAAAGAGTATTTCTCAGGTTATAAGTACTAGCAAGTTAGTGCCGGATATTTTTTACATTAATGGCTTATTTACATGCCTCTTCTCTGTAGTAAACCAGGTACTCTCCTTTAGGGAGAGTGAATCATCACTGAAACAGAGATAAAATTTATCATGCTGTAAGAACATGTATCCAGGCAGGTACTAAGCAGCTGACACCCACGCTGTGAATTTGTATCTTACTTTAGCCTTCAATACCGAGACCTGAAGGAGCCTCACTTAAATGTGATATGGCACAGTTTATTCAAACAAGCCACTGACATCACCCAAATCAATTCCACCCTCTGCTGCCTTGTCTCCCCTGAAATGTAGCATCAACACTCAGAGTGGGGGACAGTTCCTACTTCCCCACCACTCATACCTGCAAATCCCTACAGGCTGCTGGAGCCCTGTTTTGTCCCTACATCCCAGCAGAGCATGCTGAAAGATTACCCTTCCTCCTGTTACAGACTCTATGGGAATGCCAGAGCCTAAGCAAATACCTTTACATTTATGGCCAGATCATCATCACTTCAGTAGTTACCATCTGGAAGTGTTGCACTGCTGGGGCAGATACAGTTAGGTCAGGAATTGCTTATACCAGTATGATCTACTCCTGTTACAAGACAACAGAAATAACAGTGAAAATCATTACACTTGAAACTTTGTACAGAAACAAAACAGAAACTTTCTCAGACATCACCTAGACTGGTTCACTGACTACAAAAGCTATGCAAATAAGGACTGTTTGAAGTTATATACTAAAAGCTTGACTGAGATCAGACAAAATCTTTCCTCTTAACCAGACTGTATGGAATAAAGAAGCGAACAGCTGCAAGATAACTGCATGGCAAACAAAATCCATCATCTATGTAGAGAGATGCATCTTTGTACAAGGAAGGGACCAACATTCTCCCTGTTAAAAAAAAAAAAAAACAAGCAGGGTGCTAATTCATTTACAGGATTACAGCAGATGATCAGACCTTCTACTGCCTACCTTTAAATGAATCACACGTAGATCAACCTCAGTCCTGTCCTATTTTCTATTTGTTACGTGGACCTGACCATTTACAATCAATTTCTGCCACTACTTTCTCTCTTTCGCAGGAGGCTAACAATATAACAGTCATCTGCATTAAAGAAAAAAAGCACAAATGAATGAAAAAAAGGTGCAGACCGGAGGTCAAGGTCAACTGATGCCATGAAATTCCTGGTTGGAGATCAACTTGTATGATCTTTAGGTATGGTTCCTGAGCATTTATTCAGAGTACAGCAGCCCCCCGCTTCCTTTTTTCTGTGTCAATGAATAGCAAATTCAGTGCTTTCATCAATACCAGACATCAGAAAGCATTTCCTTTCTTAATCCTAAATGAAGTGGACTTTACCAATCATTCAAAGAGACAAGATTCTTCATGTTGGCCTTTTATGTTTTCTGGGGTTGTAATAGATTCAACCAAGCAGATCTTTCTTTGAACCTGTCTTTTCTTTTTTTTTTTTTATAAAAAAAAACAAAACCTTTTCATAAAATGATTTACTGCAACTATAAAAACTTTAAGTCAGATTACCCAGCAGTGTTCAATCATGTGGTCTTAAGTCATTAAGTCTTGTGATGAACATGGCAAAATGCTCCTGGAAAGAATACACCTGTGTGCAAATTTTAAAACAAGGTCTCTGCATTCCTGGTTTATGAAACTTTCAGACGTTTCCCAGTAAAGCTTTGTTACTACAACTTGCCCTCTAGATTGCTCAGTAGAAATCAGCACTGTGCAGATATAAAGAAACAATGTGCTAAGGGCAACCTGTAGCCTTAAAAATTATTATCAACACAGACAAGCATCTTTCCCATTCTTAGCATCAACATGGGAAACCTCCTGCCAAACCACTTGAGAGTTGCTTTAGTATCGCAGAAACACAGGCAAGGAAGGGATTATAAGATATGTAAGAAAGGTCCACATATTTGAGTCTTCAAAAATTCAGCGTCAATCTATTTTACACAAATCATTTCTTTCCCAGGTAATTATAAAGAGTCTTTGGAAAGGCTGTTATCACTGCAAATAAATTGATCAGAGAGATACAGGAGAAAGGAGAAGCACTGAAGGAACTAGAAGAGGAATATCCTGCATTTGCCTCTGAGGCCAGAAAAACAGCAGCGGGAAGGAAGAGTGTCACATGAAAGCACGTCTCTTCCAGACAGATTCTATACAGATGACAAAAGAAATTTAAAATAAATGTTTATGCCACAGGAAACAACAGGAAAACAGGAATTGTCCTGCATAGCGTCAGCAAAGCAAATGCATGTTGCAGAAATCTCTCATTACAGCCTTTCAGCTACTGAAGTCTCCTTAACCTCCTAATGTTTCAAAAAGAAAAGTCTGAACTGTCAGTGCAAAAGATGCAATGTATACAGGCTTTTACCTTTCTGCATCTTCTCTGTTTCTTCTTCAGTCTGCCAACAGCTGCCCAACATGTCTACAAAGAAAGTAGTTTTTCCTGGCATCCCTCTTCAATTTCAGCATTTTGAATTGCTTTCAGATGCATAGCTTAGATGTGCTGCAAGTGCCAACAATCATAGCCATAACTCAAACTTTTGCTACTTCTTTAATGTTATCTTTTCATGGAAGTTTTTACTCCCACTGTGCTCATGAATAGAATTTACTCCTCTATCTTTAATACCCCTGCTGTACGCAGCTATTTTACTTTATGAAAGTTTATCTTTTCACCACAGAATCTGAGCAGGCTATTTATTTTAAATGGCCCCAAAAGATAATCATAGGTTTTATGGCTTTTTTTTGGTTTTTGTTTTTAATGGTATTTGGGTACTTGGAAAGTACCCAAAGACCTAACTCCCATCAAAACATATTTGAAGCAGGCACCCTTGTCTACACATATTTACATGTCAATGCATTATTTCCAATGAGTAAAGCTTTTCTAAAGGCCTACAGTCAGACTATATATTCCTGACTGTTCACTTCAGCTGTAACCATTGGTTTCCACTGACAGGTTCACCAATCCAGCATGGTAACTGTGGGGAATAGTGTCAGACTGAGCTGAGACAGTCTAGTAAATGTGACCAATGTCGTGAATCCAAATTTAGGAAAAAAACAAACTCTTATGGTACTGAGAAGCTGGCTGATATTTTTAGAACTAGAATATTTACTGATTAGAAAAAATGAAATAACTTTCAGATATATTATACAGCCACAGTCAATTCAAATTCAGAAATAGTCTTCAAGAAAGAGCACAAAAAGGATGCAGACAGTTAGCAACAAATGACTAAAAACGTGACGAGACAAAAACCACATCTAATCATCACTTTTAATCCCTAGCCAGCTTCTCTTCATCCAGTCACGAGTGGCCTGAAGGCTGGAAAGATGCAGTGCTCCTGAAAGCAGACACAGCTTGGTGTCACCTTCATATCCTTGGCATCTTGAGTCCATGAGAAGTTATGATTTCCTCTTTTAAGTACCCAGGGATGCCAAACAGGATGCATGAGACCTTCCCTATGTAGTCAGTGATATCCCGAGTGTATACACCTGCAGTGTGTACTGCTCTAAAAGTCAGACTGCTTCTGTCAGCACATATTCAAAGAGAACAGATGAATCAATGTGTGTCAGTATTTTATCCATCAAGGCAGGAAGCAGGAAATTCTGCCTCATAAGTAGATCTGTCAATATTTCCTGAAATGTTTGGCTACAATGAAATCTTGTACATGTTCTGGTTCTTCAGAGGCTGCTGGTAATTTGTCTTTTGAACTAAAAAGAAGGTAAGAAATCTATTTAAAGTTTGACAAAATATTTTGTTTGTTTGTTCTTTGAAAATTTAATTACACAACCTCTCTCCTCTTTTTACCATCCAACCTATAGGAAATCAAAGGATTCTGAAATGGAAAACATCTGATCATAGGAATGAAGCAACTAATTGGCATCAGTAACAGTATATTATTACCAACAAAAGCAAGTCTGTAACTTAGGACCCTTACATAGAATATTGGGGGACTGTGGAAGGGTAAAAATGCACACCAACCAGAGCTTAGATACACGTTGGCTTCACAGGAAAAATAAATGGCAAACTAACTGCTGTGAGTTTTGTTTATTACACTAGTTTAACAAATTTGCTCTTTGCCCTTGGAACATTTTATTGCATGTAATAATTACATAACAAGAAAGTGTGTCACTTCAAAAGTATTTTAGAAAACTGAAAAAAATTTGGGTAAAGTAACTTCCGTGATTATTAGGCTTGATGTTCCTGCATCCATTTAATAGGAAGCTAACCTGTCCTGTACATAAAATATATGAAAATAACTGTGCCATGCCTGGCCCAACAGACATAAGAAATATCGTTCAAAGAACAAACTATTAACATTCATTTAAATGGATTTTGAGAAACATTATTAGTAATACACTTATTGCCACAGTTTGAAGCTACACTAAGGCAGAAGTGTCAGAATTAAGGACAGTTTAGAGATTTCCTAGGCAACAGAATAAGTATTTCTTCCCTCTGCACAAGATTGCTGAGCTCCTATTTCAGAGTCAATGCTGCAAAGTAAAGTCTTGACATGCTGACTCTTGTTAGTCTCTAGGTAAGCCTTACGTGACCTTCGGCATAGGAATTGGGCTACAAAGGCCTCACACAGAAGCCAAGAATCAAAATCGTGTTTTGCTTGGAAGTGTTTTTCAGCTCCCTGGAATTTAAAGGAATTGTACACAACAGTAATAAAACAGTAATAAGAGCCTTGTAGTTAAGTCACTTTCCTTTGCAAACCAGGAAGAAATAAACAGTGGCCTTGGTCTTTGATGTTTGAATAAAAACACCAAGAGCGAACCCTCTAGCCATATTAAGTGGCTTTGGTATAATCATGGCCCAAGAATATCTGTTTGCTTAACCTACATTATGCAAGACTTCCATGTGACAGTGAAACATGTGCCAGTCTGCTTGGCTGAGTTCATTACTAGAAATCAGTGGCAAAAGATATGAAGATAATTTTTAGAACACAGGAAAGAGGAGGAAGGAGATGGCTTTATTCTGTAATAAGCATCGATTATTACATTGCTTTTTTATCATTCAGTAGAGTAACATCTCAGTTATCTGAATAGCGTAGTGCAGGGCTTTGTCCTGCCACAAGACAGAGGATTAGTAGTTTCAGCTCTGTTTTCCATCATAATAATTAACATATAAATATGATTATATACAATAAAACACAGTAGAAAAAAACACGTATAAAATGAAAGTTTTCAATTCTGTCTTATTAATATGGCATGTAAGTCACTTGAGTGAGTCCATTTTCCAGGGCACCATGGACATCACATTCTTACCCCAACTAATCATTTTCTCTGAATACATGCTACATCCACCTCTTCAAACTTGGCTTTTTTTTTTTTTTTTTTTTTTTAATTGAACTTCAGTCAACACTTCACCTTCTGCAATAGGAAGGGCTGGGAAGGCAACAGGCAAAGCCCAGCCAGACCTCTGCTTCTACTCTCCCCCTTCTGTCTGCAGCCTGTGCAACAAAGGCATCAGCTGAAGAAAAGGAAAAGGAAGAGAAAGCAGCTGAGGAAAGGGAGAGATAAGGAGAAGCTGTTGTGCAATAGAACAGACAGTGAACAAACATGCAGGTGT